TTAAATTTGATTACAAGACATTATGGTTCATTTTTAACCGAAAAGAGATTTATTTAACTCCCTATAAAATTTGCACTGATTAGAATGCATAAAAATAAGGGAAAATATTATAGTTAGCATTTTAATAATTTATGGCTGTGAAATACAGCATGAAACACCAGAATCTTTTTCTACGTTAAAGGTAAAATCTTTCAAACGCGATTCACTTTTAAACAATACTTTTTTTCAAATTTGCACTTATTTGAAGTTATTTAGATTTAAGAGAAACTTTTATTCATTATAGAAATTTCCTTAATTTACAAAATGAATTATTGATAATTTTTTGATTATGAAATGAATTCAAGTTACTTTTTGGGGATTTTATATTTTAGAACAAGTATAATTCCGATAATTCAGACGATTTTTTTCAAGTAACTATTAGAATGATTTATACAACTTAAAAATATCATAATCAATTTTAGCTTGTTATTAGAGTGTCAGAAAAATATGTATAAAAAGGACACCGATGTCCCATCTGCATCAAAGGGTTAATGTAAAGACATAAAAATTCCGACGAATTTAGGTGCAGTAAACGCGCAATGGGTCCCTGGTATCCTATCATCCCTCTGGTAGGGGGGACTAGATTAAGACCGAGTATGCGTGGGTGTGTCAAAATTAGTTCTGTTTTCTAGCCGAAAAACTTTGAATTACACTTCATTAGTCAAGAAAAAAAAATAACCAACAATATTGCCGTGTTATTGTACATTAATTCACGGCTTCTTTGAAAATAAGTTTGTTTTACTATGTCAACTCTTTATTGTTCTTCTGTTCTTAAACTAGCCTTATTTACTGGAGATTATGAGTTACAAAAACTATTTAAATCTAGCTTATTATACATTTTCTAAAGATATCCACCTTAATTAATAAGGGTTTGATCTAATAATGCCACTCTTCTGTTATATTTTGATAAGCTCTGCTTTCGAGCTAAGACCGGGTACCGGGTATCTGCTAGGCACCACTAAACTGCATTACACCAGAGGAAAGAAGATAACTTCATCCACGGCTGAAAAAAGGTTTCATGCACCCCAGGACGAAATTTAAGGTGGGCCCCTTGCTCAAAGCACAAAAGTGAAGAAATGACTAAGTGACGAAATAGCTATCTCCACTTCTTCAAAGAAACGCATTGAGTCAAAATTAAAGAAATCTTTCTATGTTATACGATTTTTTTTCTTCAAAACACAGACACACAAAAACAACAACCTCGCAGTGCCTAATGTTTCTACCTGGTCTAATAATCACTTTATCGTGGGTTCCATATAGTTGGATCAATGTCGCCCCATCAACACAAGAAAGGCAGAACAGAGAGACAAATTACACCCATGTCAGCGGGATTCGAAACAGGAATCGTCCTAGTACGAAGCTAACTCCTTGAGCGGTCGGCATATTTCATCACTTTATTTTCGATCGTCTAGTATTAGTTCTAGTTAAGAATCTCTCACAATCCATTATGATGAGATTCCAAGTTGAAGAAACATTTTCGTCATATATTTGAGAGTTCGCCTTTCGGCACAAATCAAGTGATTTCGGGATGAAATGATTCTCAAAATCAACAACACACTGCTCAATGATTGTTGAATTGTCAAAAGTGAGAGTTGCATTTCTGAGAATGGAAGCAACAGAATAGTCAAGTGCAAAAATTTCATAAATCTCGCAATTTAAATTATTTTTACGAACTTAAGTCCGAAACAAAAGTAAGCCATCGCTGAGCCATAATATTGATAGCTTTAAGTATAATCCGGAACAAATTTACTCAGATCTTCACACGAAGTTAAATAGAAATCTCTTTTCGTTTGCGTTGAACCATAGAGTATAATGCGATGAACTTTCAGAAGTTTTTCATTTATTTAAACGTAAAACAATAATAAGGCTGCTAAAAATTTTGATGATATTATGGTTCAGTAGGCTTTACAATTTCTAAAAGTATTTTTTAAGTAATTTTTAAAGATAAATGTTTTTCATTGAAAGGTACATGTAAAACATAGCTTCTAGTATCGAAAAAAATATTTTTTGATGCAAAGCTGTCCTTAATTTCATTATTTAATTGCCAACATGTTTCAAAGTTTAACTTTAGTTTTTTTAGTTAGCACGAAATAATCACATGTTTAAAAATGAATCAAGTATGTTTCATTAACTGCATTAGATATATCTAATTACAATCAGAAATGCGCAATTAAACGAAAAATATTATTTCATTTTCAAAACGATCTTGCACAATAATTAAATTCTAGATGCTCCCAACGGTTGAAATTGAATTCTTCTCCATTGAGAATCCAGAATTTATTAAAAAACTTTTCAACAAAAGTGAGCACAATGCAGCAGATGTAATTGAATAATCTTAATTGATGCCTAAATGAGCGGAATGCCAATAATTATCATTAATTGACTCATAAAAACTGGTTAAAGTTAAGAAGGCTTATTCATATATATCTCAGCAAAGGATAAGAAAAGAAAATTACGTGATAAATTTGCTTGCCGAAATGGCTTTTTAAAAAACTAAGTTGAACATCTTGAATGAATATAGCGTGGAGCAATGATTTTTGCGTAGAAAATATGTATTTAATTATATCTTTAACGGTAAAATAGATTTCTGTGCCATTGCTTATTGTAATAGAAAAATCGCAATGATTCTCTTCGGAAAAATGTGTGAAACTAAAAGTTCTTTTAAAGAATATTTTTTCTCCCGATTAACGAAGCAAAATAGTAGTTTTTACAAACTGTTTATGCATTGCTTTGTTGTCTTAAGTAATCGAATTAACGTAAAAGTACCTTAATTTATTCTTTAGATATCGAATTTTCTTTTATTATTTTTTTAGGAGAAGCAACAAGTAATTGGTTATAGCTCGGTCTGGAATTATTTTGTAATTGAATTATCAGATTAAAAAATTATCGTGTTAGCACCAAATGGATATTATATATTTTTTTCAACCAAAGGGTAGTAATCGCATTTGCAGACATAATAACTTCTCGGTGCTATTCTTAACGCATAAAAAAAAGTTAATAACTTTATCTTAAGGTTGATAATAGAATTTATGTTTGCTAAAAAATAATCTTAATAAACTTTAAGGAAATGAATTTATTTTTCTAGCGGACTAAAGGTATTAATAAAATTTCGGTATTTAAAATGGGTACTAAAATTAACTAATGTCGTTAATTTTTATTTTATTAAATGGAAGCCAATTTTAAAAGAAAGTTAATTATTTTGAGGATTAATGATTGAAGATATTTCAAAAGCTCAACAACGCATTGTGTTGCACATCAGCGATAAAGAATGCATGTAAAAGAAAGAGACAAATTATAATTCGTCTATTAGGTATTGCTAAAATAAAGAAAATTCTTTAAAAATGATTCTTTAAATAAAAACTTGCGTCAATTATTAAAGTGTTTTAGCAGTATCTTTGTAGTTCATTATTTATTCTGCTAAAGTAATTATTTATCCTACAAAATATTATTTATTGTACTAATTTATTGCATATATTTGTTCAGGGTATACGATTGTAGGACAATAGAATAATTATTTCGTTAAAAAGTAATAATTTTTTCTTTCTTTTTTGAATCTGCGCAACTTGGCATCGATAAACTTTACTATGCTTACACCATAATTTACATTGCGTGGCATCCATGTACTTATGTAAGTAGTATAAAGTCATTGATTTTATAAGCATAAAGAATTTCGTCTTTGATTTTATAAACGTATACATAAACAGGTTGCGATTAGTAATGGGGATGATCATCTAATTCAAACGTGGTTTACTTAATCGTTTCAGACTATGAGGAAAGTAAGGAAAGGAATTTTCGCAAAACGCTTCTTGTTGAACCCGCTATACAGCCCTCAATAAATTGCCATCAAGTTTTATGTGAAACTCAGCAAATTTGTAGCTTAAACTTTTTCCAGCTTTCAATACTGATTGTTTGCCTGAGTGTCAAGTCTATCAGTGGCATAAGAGACTTCTTCATGATCAGGAAGATATCAGGGATGAAGTTTACGAGTAAATTCGATCAATGACCATCATTAATGAAAATTTGACTTGTGCGACTGAAATCAGAGGATCATTTAAAAATTCCTTTAATGGTGTAAGCATCCGAAATGTACCAGCTCGACATAACATACAACAGGTTAATTGAACAGGACAACATACTTCCACTTCATTCGTGACCCACTTCCGGGATGGCTAACAGATACCAATCATTTACCATAGGTTTTAAAGTTTCCCGTTACTTCCCGAGAGTTTCCCGGGGACATTTTTTGTACAAGCTTTCGAAAAGTCACATTAAAAAACATCATTTCGAAACATTTAAACACAGCTATAGTGCTATATCCTCCATGGCCATATCCTGATTCCCGGACGATCACAAACGATCGGAAGACCTAATACCACCAACCGATCTGAGCATGCTGTAACGAATATAAGCTTCACAATAAATTCAGAGGCAATACTTAATCCTGAAAAATATTGAACCTCACTGAATATATCACGATGTTGGGTGTAGTAAAAAAATTCAAATAAGCTGTATTTTTAAATGATAAAATCACATAGCTCAGCTATGATAGTCCAACAATGGTTAGATTAAATAAGGTGGGTCAAAGGCGCGTCAAATGATATTAAACTCTCAAATTTTATCAAGTTTAAAGCATGTAAAGAATATAAATATCGTTTTCTTTCATGGTATAACAGATTGTAGAAGCCAAGACTATCCCGAAAATTCTTTTGCCTCCTGATTCTATCGATTGCAAGACTCTTCTAGTGTCCTTCATTTACTATATGAAAGTCCTTCTACTCCAAATCCAGCCACCAAATTGGTGATCTTCCTCGTTTTCTGTTTCCCATGGGACAAGTAAAACTGAGATTAAACTTATTCTGTCGAATTTAGGCAGTTTCGAATGGAGAAAAGGTTTTATAAACAGTGTTTTGATACAATCTTAATTCATTTAAATATGATTTAAGTTCAGAAAACGGACTAACCTGAAGTTGTGAACTTGTGTTTTTGAGAATCAATATCAGAAGTGTGTGAATGTTTTCCACTGCTGACGACAAATAAAGGCGTCTCCATGGTTATATCAGTCACAACGTCTCCTGATTGTAGCTCTAGGTTCTTGGATTCAGGCAGATCCTTGGATCTTTTTCTTCTGCCGTAAGACTGATGAACTTCTTTGGTTCCTTCATCCTCGCATCTCACCTAAGAATGTCAATTAACATTTAAAAGAAACTATTATATATAAATATTTTTTACCTAAAAATTTCTGAAAAAATCCAATAGTAAAACTCAATAGATTGAAAATAATTTCTCGTACAAAATTTGATTTCAGTACTGGGGCTTTATTATATCAATAAAATTTGCTTTTGTAGGACTTAAGTAAATATTTTTAAGTATTAAATAAAAATATGTGTTAAAAAATTATTATATAAAGCATATTTAAATGAATATTTAAATTAATATACGCTCAGAAACAGAAAGGGTTTAATAACTGAACAGTTGAAACTGTTAATAGACAAGTTATTCTCACTCTAAATAGGCAAGGACGTACATTTTGTTTTTTGAAAATGCAAAATGTAACTAACTATACTTCTCAATTTGTGATTGGGCTTCATATTTTTCGTAGAATACATTAGATACAACTCCCCAGAAAACAATAATTTTAAATTTATAAATAAGTTATAATATTATTTTAAGTGTAAAACATGTCAACTTCCAAAGACAAATTTAGAAGTTTTGAATTGTTTTTTTTACTGATATATAAGTTTGCACAAAGTGCTTGGCGTATTACAATAGTAAACCACAGTTTTCCAAAGGTATCATTTTTACATCTCACTTTCTCCTGGTTGAAGATAGAAAGATATAGATATCATCATTATAAACACACAAAAACCTCTTATTGCTTATACGAAAATCGTGATATTTAATATCTATCTTTAAAAATGCTTTTATAAACAAGCTGAAACTATGGTATTGCTTCGAATTACTGATATGTAACTATCTAATTTTTAAAGAAAAATTCAAATTTTCAATAACCAATAACTTTTTAAAATCAATTCTGAAAAACTAACTAATTTTCCTTCTTGCATATATATAGATATATAAAAAAAGAAAAATGAGAAAAAAGAACATTATATATATATGTAAGTTCAAATTGAAGAATAAAACAAAGAAAAATTATAGACATATGAAAAAAAGGGGGGAAAATAATAAGTAAAAAAATAACAAACAACAATTTATATTTTATATTTAAAAAAAAAAGGATGAAACTTTATTTAAAAAAAAAAGGATGAAACTTTATTTAAAAAACCGGAAAAAAAAACGGAAAATAAAAATAAAAGATATAATCTTTTCTTCAGCCCACACGATTATATCCGCAAAGCAGAGTGCTTTCTGATATTGTATCAATAAAGCCAAAGCAAAATATATTAATACAATAGTAATGTATAGAGGAGCACTCAAAAAAAATTTTTATAAAAATAACAATAAATAAAATAGATCACAAAAAGTAAAAATAACATGTAAAAACAGTAAATAAAATAAAAATAAAAAACATTAAAAAGGGGCTATAAAGCGAGAAGCAAAATCAGATCAACTTACATGGACGAAAAGTTTTCCAAGAATGATTTAAAAATGTTTTCGCAGAAAGATTGCCAGATTACAAAATATGAAAACCAAAAAATGAAAACAAAAGCACAAATTGAGTGTAACAAGAGGGTTTTAAAGTGTCGTTCTTACTGCACTGCTGAAGTGATTTGTTATTCTGAGATTTGATTTGTTAGTTACCAAGGANTGGTGAGGAAAATATATATATATATTATAGAAAACTATTCCATTTATATTTATAACTGAAAGGAGAGTAAATTATATTCGTCTAAACAAATAAATTATTCTCTTTATAGAAATACTAAGTAAACTAACACCCGAGCAAAAATACATAAGTTAATGTGAATAAATAGTTGTAAAGAACTTTAGACGCGAATAAGGCAATTACCGTCTCCGCGAGTTGCCTAACAATTCGACTTTCTTTCTTAAAATGAAAAGTCAGTGATTTAGGGCGTAAAAAAAATTTTTTTTTCTTCCTCAATCCAAAATCTAGTCATCATCAATTCTCAAACAAATTTCTTTCAAAGAACCGCAAGTCTTTAAAATTCTAGAACAGCTTATAAGATTTTTTTCTTCTTCTCCTCTATGCTTTCTTCTTCATTTTCAGGAGTCATTTTTATCAACTAGTACTTTCACAGTGTGGCCTTTCCTGCTAACTTATTGCAGACACAATTATTATTCTGAAAAAGCTTTCACTTTTTTTACGCCTTCGACGGGAAAAGAAAAATGGTTGAATCATGTAAATGATGCTTAATAACGCCTAGGGATAAAAATAGGGTGAGAGAGTCTAAAGCCCAGTCAAAGAAGGGATTCCGGAAAGGGTGAGAATGTTACCACAGAGGGTGAAGATCATGACAAGCTAAAAAGTCGAGGAAGAACAGAGTAAGTCATTAGATAATGACCTCAAAATTACTTCCGAATCTTTTCTAAGAAGAGGGATTTTAAAACTTGAAAAATGAGTAAATTAACAATGGGATTTTGTGAAACATTAAGTTTGGTATTGTTTGTTAACAAGATGAAGAAGTAGTAGTTAATAAGAAAAAATGTACATGTTTATTTTTAAAGAAAACAATTATTTTTCTTTTAAAAGAGAACTACTCAATGCTTATCATAACATTCAAATACATGCTAAATAGAATTTTTAATGTCTAAGGAATTTCCTCAACAGTCCGTTGTGGGCTAAGAGAATTTAAAGGATCTAAGATTTCGTAATCAACAACATGATTGTGGCAATGCGTTCAGCATTGCGCATAAAGCCATATATTCTTTCCAGATAAATTGTTACCCATCGATTAGGATATATGTGGGTCTCAAGCCGTCGCTTAGGATCGAACCCCAGCCTTTAGCCCCCAGGTAATTGCGGCTCAATGTGTTACATAGAGTAGTTATGCGATATTTTTTAAAACAAACACGAAAAATTTGATTAAAAAAACGGATTCGGCCGAAAATAATCTGGTCTTGGTTTGTTGAGTAATACATTAAGGTAATACATTTCAATAAAACCTTTATTTTGTTTAATTTTATGCTTTCGAAGGGCAAAACAAAATGGTTGAATCATGTTACTGATGTAAAAAAATAGATTGAGCGAGTCTAAAGCAAATTCAAAGAAGGAATTCCAGAAGGAAAAAAAACGTGAACATGTTACTACGAAGGGTAAAGATCATAGCCAGCTAAGAAATAGAGGAGTAGCAATATAATAATGACAAGATCAGATAATGGTCTTAAAATTATTTCTAAATATCTTATATACAGATAGATTTAAACTCGAAAAATTACTAAAGTAACAATGGGATTTTGTGAAGCTTAAAGTTTGGTATGATCAACCAACATAAAAAAATAATCAGTAATAGTTATTAAAGGTTAATACTATAAAATAATATACAATTATTAATAATGAAATACCATTTTTTAATTTTGAAGCGGAACTACTCTATGTTTATAATAACATTCAAATAATATGCTGAACAGATTTTTGACCGTCTAACACAAACGTAGTCAAGAAATCTGTATTTTAACTTAAACACTAACCAAGCCTAAACGCTTGGACGTTAAAAAAATTTAAAATAATCTTTTATTAGGCTTTACGTATTGTTAAATACATTGCGAGGGTACTTTTTTTAATATCTTTGAACGAAAAAGAAAACTGGTTGAAAGAATTTTAAATACCACCTGTCGGTAAATTTTGTAATTAAATTAAAGAATTCTGGAAGAAAAAGTTATGTACTGTCAGATAAGTTTGCTATAAGACTTGTGTTTTGGTCCTAACTGATTCTTATCTAAATATTTTTAAAAGCCGTCAGTTTCTGTTAATACCCCTATAAATAAAACTCTTCGTTAGCTTAAAAAAAATTCTATGGTGGTGAAATGAAAAACGGTTGAATTATCCAGATGACTCATGAATCATAGTGAGAAACACAAATTGACCAATACCAAAGACCAAGTCGAAAAAGAATTCTTCCCATGTAGATCATGACTTTCTCAATAGCAGATTTCCATCTTGACCTATCTGACGCCTTTTTTTCCAGTTCCTTGTAATATTGCTCAATACAATCAGTATATCATAGTTTTGGTCTTCCTCTAACTTGTTACCATATGATTTGTCCCTAAAAGGGTTTTTGGCACTTTTGATTTCTTCAACTCTGATGAGATGTCCAGGAAGTTGTTAAATCATTTTTTGTTACTGAATTTCACTACATTTGTGTCTTATATAGTAGTAAAATTGTTTTTCTATGCTAAGCACCATAATTTTGTATACCTTATAAAACACTAAGGAATTCTCCACCGAGTAAAAATGCCCGGTTGTATTATAGGGGCAAAGCAACATAACAAAACATGTATAAAAGTATTTGGAAAAATTCTAAAACTGCATCAAGAATGTTTTTTACAAAAAATTTTTGAACTCATTGTAAAAAAAAAATCCTATTAATTAAGACTCTAGTATCGACTTTCACAAGGAAATGTTTGCAGTATACAATTTAATATTTCGTGGAATACATATTTTTGCAAATACCAATGTTTGATTTTTCTTTTCACGTTATTATTATTAACAATCCAATTATAATACCAAGGTTTTCAACAACAAAAAATTGTTTGATTGTTCTATAAATCATGCTTATAAGTGGGTTTAAAATGTCCCTAATTTGTTTGTTTAAAATATACTGTTTTTTCTTCTTTCTTTTCAGTAATGGGGAAGTCAAAAACCACTTATTAGACCACTCTGCTTTCAGTTTAAATTATTAGAACGTGACGACCCTCCGATTCTAGAGTTAAAATAATTCATATTTTTACCTCGATAAAAAGTAGACCTGTAATTTAGCTGATATTACCTAACATTATGTGATTGGTCATTATTTAATTCAGCGTAGAATATTTAGGTGTTTGACAGTATAAAAAACGCCTGTATCACGTGCAATTTTGTTTTAGAATTCTCATTCCAGGAATTGAATGTTATTATTGCCACTCGGCACATTTGTTGCTACTGTACCTTTCACAGACTACTTTCCAGGTACCTACTTGGAATTTTGGATCATGTTCATGTTTACAAATATAAAGCAATTTGATATTATAACGTATTAACCTATAAATAAAGTACTAGCCTCAATCAAAAAATGTAATCCAGAAACATTTAGATTTCTATGTATGTTTTATTTTTTTCAGAATATTTACTTTTAATTGAAGATTATTTGTGATTTCAAAGCACCACAAAAATATAAAAAAAAACTTTATAAAAAAAATAAAACACTTAAATCTAGCAAAAAAGCATACAAAAAAACTTTCTCTCACTTTAATTTCTAGCAAATTAGAAGTTGGTGAGGAAAAAAATGATCGTTGAAAAGGTTGTGAGTTGCTACCAACACCTCCTTCAGAAGAGCTTAAGGTGCAAACTAAAAGGTACAAGCTATATCCTTAAATCCCATAAAATAGTATTGATTTCAAATCAAAGTTTCGAAGTGAAAACGAATATTGTTCCATTTTGTAGTAACTTCTCTTCAATATTAACTCCTCAATAAAATAAAAATTCAAATAATTAAATAATAAAAATTAATATCAAAATGTTTTTTTAAATTTGAACTGGAATACAGTGCATAAATCAATGAAATTTTATTCTCCCAAAACTGTTTAAAGTATTCAAACTTAATTAGGAAAAAACAAAGTTTTTAGCAGCAAATATTGCATAGACATAAACCGCTTTTCTCTATAACCTCAAAATCGTGCCCGCAGGGATTTTTAAGAAGTGACTTCTTGCTGCTTGGCATGATTTATGCTTATTTACTACGACAAGCAGCAATTTATAATCGGAAACGCATAGTCTATTTGGCGATCTTTTTTTAGGTACATTTTTTCCCCTTCATCTCATCATCTTCTTCTTCTTCATCTTCTCACATCACTGTTCAACTCAAAGTATCTTTTTTTTTCTAGAAAGAGGGTTGGACTTAATTTTATATGCTTTTTCAGAGGATGAGTCAAGAAGCCCGAAGCCCTTCTTTCATGAAAGGACGCTTCTTTGCTCTAGAAAAGGGAGCCAAGATGATGTCTTTGGCATGGATATTGTAGTTTTTTGGACCTTTTATTGCAGCTCGAAAGTTTTAAGGCGCCAGACAAGAAATGGAATGAGTAAAATTGATAGAACACTTTTAGCGAGTCAAGCAATGGGAAAATATTATTAGTTTGCAGAAACTCAACCTAAGTGCTGGTTGCTTAAGTGAAATGAATAATTAGATATTGGAAGAAAAAACTTTTTCCTAAAACTTCACTACACATAAAAAGAGCTGAGGAAAGAAATGGTATATAGGCGTATGAAACATAATTGAACAAATATAAACAGTGACAGAAGATTCACTGTTTTTTGAAAAAATTGAATATCTAAATTTAACAAAAAATGTCACCCTAAATAAAATTTTACACAGACATTTTTTTTAAAATTAAGAAATACGAATATTTTAGTTTCTCATTAAAACAAAATTTATTTTTATAAAAATTAATTTTTTTTGTGTGTTAATAAATAATGGGTGTAAAAATGCAAATAATATTAAACTGCATGTTAAATATTTGATAAGTATGTTTATTTTTTATTTAAAATAGTAATTAGAGAATTTTTTTATAGCATATATGAAGTTAAAACATATGATTAAATTCTCACTTCTTTTAAAACAAAAATAATTAATAAAGTTAGTAAAATTCCTTTATTCTTATTAAAATTTACTACTAGAGATTGTGTATTGTGTTTTCAATTTGTGTTAAAGTGTTACTCATTTTGTCAAGCTTTCTGCCATTGGAAATTAAAAAAAAAGTAATTATTAAAATTAACTGCTTCCTCTTACCGAATGACTTATATATTTTGTATTTGGTGTGAATTCATGTAAAATACATTGCTGTGAATCTCTGAAGAATGTATTAATATGAATCATTAAAAAATTTATAAATTTCACTCACTTAAGAAAGATTGATGTGAATCTCTAATGAATGTGTTAGTTTCAATAACCAAAGAATGTATGTGAAACACTAAAGAATATTTTAGTGAGGACCGTTGGAAAATATGTTGTTGTAGCCCACTGAAGAATGAATTAATGTAAAAAACTGAAGAATATCTTGATGTGAGACACTAAAGTATTTACTAATGTGTATTATTTAAAAATGCGTTAGTGTGAGTCGTTGAAGAATGCATTGATGTGGTTAACTAATTAATGCATTATTGTGTCTCATAAAATAATGTATTGGATTGAATCACTGAAGTATGGATTGGTATGAATCATCGGAGAATAATTTGATGTGATTTAGGAATGTATCAATGAGTGCTCCAAAAAAATGAAACCGGTTCGTATCAGTGAATGTGAATTCAGCAAAATGCATTAGTTTGAATCACCGAAAAGAGAATTGTTGTGAATTTTGCATAATGCATCGGATTGAATAACTGAAGAGTGTATAAACTCTTTCCCTCTGGCTGCCGTCAAAATCCCGTGGTGAGCTTTCGTCTTCTATTTCTGATGCCCGTGATATTTCCGGCTAAAGCGTTCAAAAGTAATGCACCAAAAGGGTTTAAATACAGCCATCTCTTGTGTTTGGATTTTTTTCATTTCCTATTTTACTCAGTAAGATCAGCTGTAACAGATTATTTCTATTATAATCAGAGATTGTTTGTTTTAAACTATATGTCAGTACTATCCAAGTATATGTATTTTTGATATGTAATTCATAATCTTAGCTCAGCTACTTATGCTCTTTGTCAATACACGTGGTTTGTGTTCTGTGATAAAATATTTTTTAATATTGAGTACATTATGGAGTCAGAGTTACATGGACACATTGGAGTACATATGAAGCTTTAAATTTCAAACTAAAATTGCAAAAATTAATACATTTACATTGTGCATATACTTTTCTTATATAATTTTCTTAAATAAAAAATAGGCACCTTAATGACCGTTCTCTTTAAAATAGCAAGATTGTTTAGGGTTAATGTGAATCTAACTAAAATGCAGTTGTTTGAATCACTGAAAAGTGTAATAATGTAAAGCTCTGCGAAAGGCGATGAACTTAAGAATGTATTGATATGATTCATTAAAAATAGCATTAATAAAAATCATTGACAGATACATTTATGTATTTCAGAGAATCTCCAACTTGATTAGGCGAAGTTTATTTTAAAAGTTTAATTTTAATTGATATTATCCAATATTTGAAATTAAAAGAACTGTAAGTGAGATAAAAATTTCATTTCGGAATGCATTGCCTATTTCATATATATTTAAATATACACCAAATAATGGATTAAAACCGGCTAATACAGCAGGTTTGAAATGTTTACTTTAAATGCATACATCCAGATGGGTATAATACAAAAGATCCAGACTATCGCTGAGCACCAACTAATCTAAGCACAAAAGACTATTCGGTGATATGTCCAGCATTAACGTCCTCACTCACGGAGAGTTCTTTATTGTTTTCACTCTCAATAGTTCAACGATGTTATTGTGTGAATCAAATTACAGCGCGGTATGTCTTTCAATGTATGCAAAGCGATTTTCCGATGAGCGCAATTAAATTATATCAAGCACTCACATCAATGTCCAATGGTGCTGTCGATGTTTACATTTAATTTGTTTCAGTAGCCTCTCCCCAATCCGCTGTTGACATGATAATGAATTTATTCCGTTATAGTGAAACAATGTCATTAATTTATGTAACAAAATGGGGATTTAAATCTCTGAAGTGGTGCTATTGCCAACTGTTATTGTTGGTTTTCTGCACTTATTCAATTATTCTTGACAGCTAAATTTGAATGATCGGATTTTGAAAAGTAAGTTGGAAGTACATGTTATGTAAATACACCAGTTTTATCTATATAGCTGTTATCGCAACTGGAAAAATTTATAAATGAAATAATGTAAATTAGCTGTATTATTAAAATAAGACTAAAATTATGCTTAGGAGCCATTAATAAATGAAATCATGCTTTCAGGAAGGGAAGGGGATTCTGAAAATTCTGATAGTTATCAACAAGAGGGAGGGAAACAGGTGTGACATTGCACATTTTGGTAAAAATCTGAACATATAAAATCAGAAGATTCAATATTTTTATATAATTAGCTTTTATATATCTTTAATCAAAATAAGTACACATCTAACTATTACTTTAATCTCAAATGTCTTTAGAACACATTATTCTTAAAGCTTAAAAATAAGATCTAAAGTATAATTTAAAACATGCTTTTTGTTTCTTAACTGCTATCATACATTTATGTAATATAGCGTGATTGGATTTCATTTTATTCTTATTATTTTTTTAATTGTATTACTCATTTATCAAACAAAAATCTTTCATAAAATTGATTTGTATTATATTTTGTTTTAATTTTTAAAGAATATGCACTATTTCCACAATATTCAGTTAGAAGAAAAAATATGTTTTTAATCGCTACAGATTTTATCAAAAATTTTTTTAAAAATCAAAATAACTTTTATTGTAATATTTCATGTTAACGATGAATTTGAAATCAATGACAAATGAATAAAAACAGTCGCTTGATGATTTAAAAAATTAGATATAAACACGATGATGCGCAAAATCCCTTTACGCTCAGAATTTTTTGTGAAATAAATACTTTTTGGAAAGCTCATATAATTAAATTTACTGCAAGATTATAATTTCCTTCATATTCAATGGAAAAAATCTATTGATTTTGTTTGTTATGTCTCTTTCCACTTTATGGGTCCTTAAGAGATTATGAAGCAAATTTTTTAATTCGTTGTAACGCCATCTATCCAAATTATGTAGCAAATTAATCAGACTTGTTAATTAAAAACCAACAGTGTATAAAGTTACAATATTTCAATCAGATACTTACTGGAGAATGTAAATGTGTAAATGATAAAAAAAAACTGACTATGAATAAATTTATAGTATTTTAAATAGGTACTTACTGGAGAACACATATCTAAGCAAAAAGAAACAGTGAGTTGAAATTTCACTGTACTTTCAGACGCAAATTTAAAAGCTTGGAATGGAGCCACCAAAGATTTTGAATCTCCTGACTTTTCAAGAGCCGGAAATATTGCTGGCTCAACTGGACATCTGAAAGTTAATAAAAAAAACGCATATAAATTATTTAATTTAAAAAGTAACAAACAATTTTAAAATACAGAATTCAGAAATTAATTGGTAATATTATTCATAAACTGATCATTATTTGTATTTTTCATTCAGAATTTTGGAATATGTAACTTTCTCAACGTTAAGTATATAGTAACTTTCTCTAAGTTAAATTTCAAATTTGTTCAGATAAATCTTTTAAACACATTAATTAAATTCTATTTATTATAAATATGTTTTCAATACTATCAGCTATTCAACTGAAATTCATCGGTTATATTTAAATTTGTATAATTAAAGAAGAAGAAAAATTAGCATGGTTAATATATCGAGTTTTTATTCAATTTATTCGAGGAAAACTTCCGTACCATACAAAATGAGGTTTAAGCAGCTTTTTAGTTTCTTCAAGGAAAAGAGGCAATATATTGCACGAAATTTACATTTAAGGCTTAAGTAGAAAATCATATAAAAGGCATAGCTTGAATTACCCAAACTGGCAACATTTGGGTAATTTAGACTATAACATTCATAACATGCATTTTTTGGCAATCCTTACAAAACAGGAATAAAAAAATAAACAATTGCGATTATCTTTCTAATCAGGAACATATTCAGAGTGGAATTGCTCTTAGAATGACCAAAATATTAGAAAGAATATAAAGCAGACTCAAAAATTGGTTTCAGTTCGACCATGCTCGATGCCATTCTAATTAAATACTCTGCTAAAAAAAAGTAGATGTACATTTTAATTCCTTTTCATCGTGATTAACCAACTATGTGATACAAGTTGCTCCAGCACGGTATTGAGTTTATAACTTTGTATGTATCTTAGGCGGGTTTTCTTTTATTTTATAACTGACATTGAACACCTGATTTTTTTTCTGGATTTACTGGTATCAATGTTTAATTCTTTTACATTGCAATTTTAAACCCATGAACAGATCTTAAGTTCGTAGTATAATTGGAAAATATAACTCTTTCCAAAACATTGCCGCCGTTTTACGATGTGTCAGACTAATTGAAGAGTCTCCAGTATTGCCCATTATTGCCTGCTATTTTCCAGGCTTATTGTACTGAACATGCATGCTCCTAGGCTATTTCGAAAATATAACGATTATTAACTTGATTTATATCAGGTCGTTTGTAATGAGCCTGGAGTGGTGAGGGTTGACAGGAGATTAGGAGTTTCTAATTACATCCGTCTTCCAAAGGAGAAAAACGTTGTGATAAATATAAATTATCTCGTAAATGCATAATTTTATGACCATCCTGTTCATTTATTATAATTAAAAAGTGAAGTAATTAGAATAAAGTTTAATAAAAAAAAATTCAGACCTGGACGTTCATTATACATCATAAAAAACACATCTTCGAATTAAAATAGCCATAAAACACATTCAAAGGTACCTCTTTTATTAACTTAGAGAAGCCATAAACGTTTGCATGCATTTCGAAGAAGCCATGTACCTGGCAGTCCTAATTAAGAATCTTTGGAGCAGAAACCCCCTCGAAACGAATAAAAGAAAATCAAACAACTCACCCTCTGTCGTCTATAAGCATGACTGTCTCTGTTCCCTTGCCGCTCCTGGCTAAAAGTCCACTTCCGAAAATTCCAAACACAGCTGCAAAAACACACCAAGAAGCTCTCATCAGTATGCGGTACAACAAAGAGAAATTTACATTAATGCGTTTTGACAGGTATTAAATGCGTTAAGTGAAAGACCCACCAAGCATGCTAAGTGGTTATGTCAGGACTGGTAATGGGTCTAGACATTAGGGATGACGCGTTAGCCAACAATGGCATCATGTCTTCAGGGCAAGCACAGTGATATATTCTTCTTTTTTATGTGATTATCCTTTTGCTTTGAGTATAAGCATGCCGATGGCGGGTTTAATGAGCCAATTTAAACATACCTTCAATGATGTTTACTTTGTATTGTTAGACAGGTGACAGCAGTTGAGGAGAAAAAATTTCAATTTATGGAAATAATAAAGTGAATTTAGCGTCAATAACTAGTTAATTGAAATTTTAAATTTATAGATGTACTTTAAATGGGATTTGTAATGCTTGTCTGAACATAGTTTATTGGTTATTATTTTACATTGAACTGGCTAAAAAAAGGTGCACATGCATGCACACACACAAAAAGAATTCACATCAAAAGATTTAGAAAACTGAATTAATCGCAGACATTTAATTTTATTTTATATTTCATAGTCATCGTTGAACAGAAGACTCAATTTTGGGTTTACGACTAATGTTCAACTCCGTAGCCTTGTAATTTTGAACCCATCCAGAAGACAAGTAAACTCCTGTATCAGTATCCCCAGAGGTAAGATTTGCTCTGGAAACATGGATGACCTTGTGACTTGACAGATTTAACGTGGATCAGTTACCATTCACTGCACGGAGAGTCTTCGGGAGGCAGGAATCGAGCCTAGGATCTCTTGGACACGGGCCCAGGGTCCTACCAAAGAGGCTATTCCGGCCCTAATCGTAAACATTCAAAAGAATGCTCTTGATTAAATTTTAAAAATTGCATTATGATGTTTCGATGATCCAATAATTCACAGTTCTTCTTCGCCATTGATTTGCCCCACTTGCTTTATATAGTTATTACACGACAGCATGATTATTATAAAGAATCATAACAAAATATTCAGAAAAACAAATTTATCGTTAATTGTGACATTTTGAGGACTCGTAGATTCTATACTTTTCTGTTTCCTTGTCCATCGATTTAACACGTTTTTATTTATTTATTTATTATACGACGATACGATTATCATACAATGAGTTGCTAAAGCATTCCCGCTTCTGCCTGTTGTAGTATAGGAGGGTCATGTAGGTTAAATATTCCCAATTTCGTTACCAACTGAATAATTGTGATAATGTGGCCATCAATGCACACAGGCTGCTTTAACTTCCCAGACAAGCTGGTACTCGTCGATCTGATGTTAAGTGGGCTTCAAACCGACACTGGGATCGAACCCCAAACCTTATTATACAATGAATACGATTTATAATTTTGAGAATTTATGTGTTTGCAAAATTAAAAGTGTCAATTATCTAATTTTCAAAAAAAAAAAAAAAAAAAGAATACTGAACCATTTGACTATACTTCAATAATAAAACTATATTTTTGTCATAATAATTAATGAAAACAATAAAATTTAAAATCAGACACTGATAAAGAAGCTTAAGAAACTGCGAAACATAATGGAAAGAAAACATCGTATACATAAATGAATTTTACGTGATAAAAATGTCTTTCAAAAGAAAGAAAAACTTAATAAATCATTACAATAACATATAATAAATACATAAATATTTACATTCTGTGTTAAGACAAATTATTTAAACAAGCATACCTCTTCTTTTAATAAGCATATTTGCGCGTTCCTTCAAATCATTAACAATAAACCTTATCAAAATATAAATTTTGCAAAGATAATGAAACAAAAAGCAACATTTTCCTGAAGGATATTCTCATTACATAGGGTTAAAGTATTTCTGTATAAATTAAATATCACTTTTTAATTCCCAGGTTGATAGTCTTTTTTGCGCCTCTAGCCAATACTCCTCAACTAGCAGAGTATGTTTCATGCAGTCTTTTGTTTTTGAAGGCTGAATTTCTTTTCTTCTTTTATTTCATCTTGCGTGAAGACAGAAAAAAAGGAAAGAAATTCTAGCCTTTGGCTACAAGTTGTCAAAGCTGAAGTTGAAAGAAAAGCGATTACACTGAAAAACATTTTTTGGTTTGCTTAAAAACAGTTTTCCAGACTGAAAAAAAAAACGTCGGCAACGAATTATCCCAAATCTTCCAAAAGCTGAGAGTGAATTTAAATTTAAAATAGCTGACTACTTATTTTATTTCTTTCTTTCCAGAAAAATAACCCCAGGCAGGTGTATTTAAATAACACGAAACATTCTAAATATCATGTTTAAAAAAAAAGGTATTCTGTCTTTTTTTTGGTGAGAATTTAAAAGAAATATTAGAATAAAAAATGTTTGACGAGGTATTTTTGTTTGTTGTTCCATTATTTATTCAGACCTCTTAAAGCGAAATTTGCATGGATAATATCCATTATTAACGTATATGCAAACATCTCATTTCATTGCTTTATAAGTATACATTGATATCCCTTTAATGCTTTAAATTGAATTTCTAAAAAATGTATAAAAACCAAGGTTATTTATATTTTTTTTAATATTATTTAGCATTTAAGTCAAGTATTAGGCGTTATAGGTAACTAGTCTTGCATATGTAATAACTAAAGGAAAATATATTTTTATTAATAGGAGTATTCATTAGAGTATATGGTATATTAGAGACACTAACTAAATTACAGCATGCAATCAGTTAATAGTTTAAAACAAAATTGGGTTTAAATTTATCTTGCAAGATTAAAAATTAAAGAAAATTTTAATTTCATTGAGAGGAGTATACATTAGAGTACATGCTGGAGTCTAGCTAATATAACAGCGTGTAATCAATTTATAAAGTAAAGAAAAATTCAGTTTAAATTTATAACTTAATTGTTCTAAATTTTTTGTTTATTTGTTACTATTTAGAAGCATAAAAAAAGGAGTATGAGTAAAGAGATATTAATTAGGGAAAAAAACTGAGTTTTCAATATTGTAATTTAATAATATGACTCGGGAAAATGAAAAATAAAAAGTTTTTAACTCTAAGTTTCTTTCCAAAGGCCACCTGGAGAATGACCTTTCGTCAATACAGTCACCTGAAGGGCATATTTGTTGACCACTCTTTCAGGGGAACCATATTAGGTGAGTCAACGTTGCTCCCACAGTAAGGATAGATAGTACAGAGAAGGAAAGAACATGCATGCCTTGCCAGGATTCGAACCCAGAACCTTTCTGAGGCAAGGCTAGTTCCCTGACCCCTACACAGGTGGTCGGCGTTAACCTTATAAGTTGAAGGAAGGAAAATCAAAGTTTTGAAAAAAAATCTTTTAATCATTATATTAGTTAAATGTACTCGCTTTGTAAAAAGTGTGATTTATACACCTTTTCATTTCTTGAAGAGTTTTTAGAGGCATATTTAGTAGGGGAGAGTGGGGTCAATTGTAACATTTTTTACTTAACTATTTTTAACTAACAAAAAATCCAATATATTATTAGTATTAATTGACAGACGAGTAAAGTAGACTATCCTCTACTAGAAAAAAAAATAAATACCTTATTTTAAATGTTATTATATTAGTTATTAACAATTTTTGACAGTCGTGCACTTGTTACAATTGTCCCCACTTACGGGGTCAATTGTAACAGTTCATAAATTCAACTAAAACATAGTTAATTATACATATTATCATAGTTGTGATATATTTTTTTATTGATCAAAATAGTAGTGATATTTTAGGAGTAAAAATAATAATGAGCAGAGACCTAAAGGGTTAAACTTTTAACTTTAAGGGGTTAAAAATTTTAATTTATGCTGTGAAAGGTGACAAATAAAATAATGCACATGCAACATAATATAAATGATATAGGAAACTATTGGTGGTTCTTAAAGAGTTAAGTAATGGTTTGTAAACATAAGATTATTTATTTTCAGCTGTTACAATCGTCCCTTTACTTATTGTTACAATTGTCCCCAAGACGCCATTTCAGCTTCATTTGTTAAAAACAATGCTAGTTAATTAGCAAAACTAATCTTTTTTTTTATTGAAATGTTAATTAAGGTGTCCACTTACATATTCGGTTAATAATTTTTATTTGTTTAAACAAAATTACTTTGTTACAATATAATATTCTAATACCAAAAAAATTACTTACGTAGCGTGAAAATATCTTTTGTGATGTAACTCTTTCAAAAGTACCTAGAAATGGTTGCCAGCAGGGGTGTACATGTAGATTTATTAAATACACCTTGTGCGCCACCTAAGAACCAAATCTAAAACCCGACACTCGAAATTTTTGCTCTGTTACAATCGTACCCTGTTACAATTGACCCCACTCTCCCCTACTATTCCAGAGATATATTTGAATAATTATTTTTTAACCTTTAGAGAAATATTGAGTTTATTTGAAATGTAACGAGTTAATGCGAGAAAACGTAGTTTCTAAATAAATTTCATTTGCCTGTAATGTCCTTTGCCGATAAGATTTATTTTGAAAATATACGAGCAAACTATGTTTAGTTTCTTTGTTCTGATTTGTTCTAAATCGGTTGAGATCCGTTTACTTTAACGTAAGGCTAAAAGGTATAATAGCGATCTTGACGAATGCGGTATTCGATTTGTGTCATTAGAGACTATAACGAAAAGAAATCCTTGCAAGGCAGTAAGTAGATTTTTTTCAAGGATTTTAAGAATGTTTTTTTCTTTAAAGGTTTTGAGACTTTTTTTCTTGTTTAAAATTGTGCACTTAATTTGATAAAAAGAAAAACCTTTTCTGGAATTTTTTTTTTGAAGGAGATATAAAAAAGTTGTTGATTCATTTACTGATTAGATTTTTCAAATGAAACCTAGATCAACAAAAAAGGCACAACATAATTATTGATGCTGATAAACTATTCAATAAAAAACAAGTGAACAAATGTGTTGTGTACTATGGTACTATGATAGATTTACTTTTATAATGACGTTACTAAGT